CCCCCCCCCCCCCCCCCTTCCCCCAGTCCAAGTCCCTCTCGTTAGTACTGTCGGAAGGTAAGCGATCCTTTTCCAGAGGATGCAGCTGAGTTACCTTGTGCGTGACAGCAGCGTACAGCAGGTATCCAGCCTGGGTGTGAACGATTCCTTTGGGTTTCCCAGTGCTGCCTGAGGTGTACAGCATGAAAAGCATGTCTTCACTGTCCATGCTCTCTGGTATGCATACAGAAGCTGCCTTGGCCATCTCCTAAGGAAAAAAAAAGGTGGTAATGCCAGAAAGATTTTGGCTATATGGAGCCAACCAATACTCCATCTGTAGGCATGTCAGCAGCATTCAGAAACAAGAACCACCACTGCTGTTGCCCCCCTCACAAACGTCCATGGATGTGTCATAGGTTACTTGTGCTTTCCCAGTGGGAAGGTTCCTGTGGATGCATAGCACCTAGCCTTTCCACCAAGGCGCAGAAGTCAAGGAGAATCGGCCAGATAACATTTCAGGAAAAAAAACAGTAGGTCATAGCTTACATTTCAAGCCTTTGCAAGGTGCCGGTAGAAAACTGTGACTGCAAACATGAACCACGCTTGACAGCCACAGCAAGGCCGACTGGATACTATTTAGGACCTTCCTTTTCCTTTTAAAACTGCAGCACTGCAGTTAAACTGTGCGTTCATCTCCCTTTCCTGGCCTCAGCAGTGGATGACTGTCCTGTCTATTTGATCCTCAAATTCTAATTGCTTCTACCCATAAGCAGGAGAGTGCTTTACTCTCCCACCTCTATCACTCTCTTCATATTCCATTGTTTGGCCAGATGGGTGAGATCCTCTCCTCACCTCTACGGTCAGAACCATGGGAGGGAAGGATGCAATGTCCTGCTAGGTCAGAGCAAACTTTTGGTCCAGCTTGTGTGGCCAGTCCAGCAGATGAAAGGGAAATAATGTGCTTTTTGTGGTCACTGAACAAGCAGCAGAGGGCTTGTCTGCCCACACTGTAGATTTTTCAGGACGAGGTTGAACATTTTTCTTATCCATGTACAAGCTTGCAATAATTACTGTGTGTTCCAGATGCTCAACATATGGCTGTAAAAAAAGCACAGCTGGCTTGCTTCTCTCAAGCTCTGTACTGTCGCAGGTGAATAATGATTCCTGCAAGGGTTATTAGGTGGCTCTTTGAGGGAGTTTCTAGGTACTGCCTTTTTACAAGTACACACTGTAAATATGCTGTATTTACATGTGAACACTACCAACGGCAGGTCCAGTTATTTGAAAGTGTCTGACAAACAAAGCTTAATAAAATATGAAGAGTTGATAGGGTCAGATGTAATTCTTAGCCTCTGAGTTACAGCACTCCTGCTCATCTCAGGTATTTATTGTGACACTTCAGCACTGCCAATTCGGGCTGACTTGCCAGATTCTGAAACTAAGATGGAGTTCTCATATGCTCCATTACAACACAAGCTTTAATTTTGCAGTAAGCCGTTGCACAAGAGCTGGAAAGCAAAACTGCTGTAAAGATCAATAATGACAGAGTTAACAGCATTAATGGTTTAGTTCCTGTTATGTTTCAGACCCTACAACTGACAATGGGCTGAGCTCAGCTCTTGGATCACCAAAGCGCCTCAGGCTGTATGCATGCTAAGGAAAATGGTCAGAATGTGCTTTGTTGAGTAAGAAAGAGTAAGACAATTTCCAAATAAAACCTGCCTTCTCTGTTTAACTTACCCTAGTAGTTGCTCCTATCTCATGTGACCAGCACAAGGACTCCTGAGTAACCATCTTGGCTGCAGACGGGTGATTTCTAGGCATTATTACAACAAGGAGTTTCTGTTTACTGCTGCTGGCAAACTGATAAAACTACTTCTACATTAGGCTGCAGTCCCATGTGTTAAACATTAAAATGCCTGCCCTTTTCTTCCCCAGAAAGCACAGGTTCTAAATATTCCCAAGCCATCACTGTCCTCCCACCATGGGGCAACCACAACCCTGTCCATAGGCTATATTAACCCTCTCCAGGAACTTGGATTATTTCTGCACTGCCTTTTAACAGTGTCCAGTCTGAGAGTGCATATGACAAACCATAACAGAGTGTCTGAACACAGTATAAGGACAGCAGCAATGGTATCAGTGCACTTTGGGTCTTGGGAAACACTCATTCCTTAAATCTCAGCACTGTCTGCAAGACTGCTAAAATGGAATAGCATACCCGCTGCCCATGCTGACATATGACATATGCCAGAGTGTGCACAATCTACACATTCAGCAAGACTCTCATGCACATGTTCTGAACAACCATGCATGGGGTTTCTCAGAGATGTTTGTTTGCTGGTCCCTACATTTATTTCTGCACCATATTTCTCTCCCCCAGCACAGTAAACATCACATATTTCAAGAAACATCAGGGGAAACAGGCAAGGTTTACCAACACCAACATACTTCCTCAAGGGGAATATCACGGTCACCCATCTGGACTTTGTTATCTGTCCTCTGAGCCACAAAGACGTGTTTGACGCTTGGACAGTTCTTCACAGCTTCATCCACAGTTGCCTTCAGCTCTATGACTCGGCCTCCCCTGACTCCCTGGTTGTAGGTGATAACCGCTTTGCATCCAGCTAAAAAGAGAAAGAATTAGCAGACATACCAGCCTGCCTTCCAGGCTAGTACACGCACCCTGCTTTCGTTACTTTGGGGGATGATGTATAGGACAACACGTGTGACAAATACTCAGAACTTCTATCAAAAACAGTCACTGATTAAAACACTTTAAGACCCGAGACCCACGGACATTAGGGGTAGCTGGAACCTCCATAGGTTATCTAGTCCAACTCCCCCACCCCAAGGCAGGGTCCACTCCAGCTAAACTATTTCTGACAGCTGTCAGTCCAATCTTCTTAAAACACTCCAATGGTAGCTATTCTACCCCTCTCCCCATCAGTCCACTCCAATGCCTATCACGAACATGAGAAAGTCTTTCCCAATGTCGAGCTTGAGTACTGACTGCAATTTAAATGCCTCTATTCCTGC